AAAATCCAGGCAGCTGTCTATGGTGGGACATAGATTCTTTCATATCAGAGAAAACAATGAAAAATAGCAAAAGGTAAGCAGAATATGAACTCAACTAGACTAAAACAGTGCCAGAAGATCAAGCAGACTTCAAGGGACTCAGAATAAGTTACAAGAGAACTTCATCATAAAAAGTAACTTCCTTCACTGAGTACAGCTAGTCAGTCTGGTTTCCTCCAGGCTTCTGGCAGCAGCTGAAGTTGTGGCTTTTTCATCTCACTTCCCATTTTATGAGGTCCAGGAATTTTCATCCATTAGCATGTCCTATATTGCCTGTTGCCCTACAGAAATCTTTTAAGGAAATTTTGAGTTTTCACCTTCTACCAGGAGGTTTTAGGATAGTGATTCTCAATTTGCAAATCTTAGCTGCATGTGAATTTTAGGAATCTCTGCGTTATAAAGGTGTCTTTGATTTTGGAGGGCTGTTAACTGAATTTGGAAGGGTTTCAGCTGGAGTGGAGTGTAACCCCAGTGCTGCTGGAGTGACAGAGCTGCCCGGAGAAGGATTCTTGCTATTTTTCCCACAGTCTTCCTCTTCTGCCTCCCCTCCCCTGAGGCTCCTCGCAGTCTTCCTCCCCTCCTGTCCCCCCTCAGGAACCTGGAGCAGCCAGATGCCACAGAACAGGTTTGAAACTGGTCAGCAAATGTTATGCAGATCGAATTATGGGAGCAGCAGAAGCATTTCTGGGGCACATTCTTCTCGCAGTGGGGTGAATCAGAGCCTCGCTGCACACCCCTGGAGTTCCCTTTGCAGGGAGAAATGTGGCATCTTTTAGTGTTTACACCATTGGACAGTAAACTGGAGAAATGACCCCTGTCTTCCCATGGAGTCCTCTTTATTTGCTCTCCCTACGGGTGGTTTGTTGTGTATGTAACAGACTGTAGTCTGGAGCCCTTCAGACAGTTGTGCTAAATGTTGCAGTGCAGATTAGGTTAAATTTAAAAACTTCTGTAAAAGCAAGAAATGATCCGAGTTGGAAACCAGTGAGCCAACTGTAACGTGTTTGATGAGTCTGGAGTGTGTAATGGCCAAACACTGGGGAAGGCTGCACCAAGGGGGACCTCCAGTCCTGGCAGGGAACAGTCCAGAAGACAAGCTTGGGTGAGCTGCTTATCAGATCATGACAGCCCATTAGCTAAAGGAAGGAAAGGTCCTTCCCAGGGAAGGTGGAAAGAAATCACAGTGTGTGTTAGTTATACATGTTTCTCTTCTATTTGCTGTTCGTGAACGTGCAAACCTGTATTTTGCATTTTTGATGTCTGTTCTTACTGGTAAATTATTTCACGTCAAAGCCTACCATGTGGGTTTTTTTTTAGCCCTGAAACTAAGGGTGTTGATTTTTATCCCAGGACAACTTTGTAGATCTTGATAAAAGATCTTTCCAATCTGTCATGTAACTTACAGCAGCAGTTGATTCAGAGATGCATGAGAACACACAGATCAAGTTTAGAAATCTGGTTTAAATGCTGGATTTAAAAAAAAAATCTTATTTTTTTTCCAGTAGCCTACAAATAGAAAATGGAGCCATTTAGGCTGCTTACTGACGTTTACGGAGGTCATTTTGCACAGTGCTGTAGGTGGTTGGGTCTGATTCAGTAAAACAAGCTAATAAAATTATACTCAAGCTCCCAGACCAAAGCTTGTCTCCACAGACTCCACATGTGAAGGCAGCTGATGCTCTCGTAGGAACTGTACTCCTCATCCCAACCCACTCAGTCTCGGACCTAAAAATTCCCTCTGGCATCACCTCTTGGTCTGGTGCTTGTTAGTCACAGTAGGATGGTAGGAAAGGGAACCAAGCACCCTGCTTCTGAGGTATTTTGCTTGAAGCAAGTAATTTGCCTTTGTTTTCCTCTTGAGTTAGAACTTTTTAAAGATGAGTAAAACATTGCAAGGTAATCCACCTCTATTTGTAGTTTGGCTGCTGGAAACCAATGAAAAATTCCTTAATCAACATCTGTCTTGTCATTAGCACTATAGGAAAGCAAATATGCTTTCACAGTCAAGGAGCAAGGGACAGATGAGCTGTTAGATCTGTGTTTGTGCAGTACTTCAGCATTTCCAGGTTTATTGATGCATCACAATCTTTCCAGTGGGCTGTAATGAATGGGCCCTGAGAGTGAGGAATGTGTTGTGTCATGACAGTGTGATTGGGCAGAGCAAAGCTGAACTGAATGAAACAGTTGGATGCTTATGCTTACAGGAATGAAGCCATTTACCCTCTTGAGAAAGTAATATTATTACAACTCCTAGAGAGTTGCCCAGATTGAAGGGGCTTTAGAATTTAGAAAAAGGAAAAAGAACCAAAAGAGGGGAAAAAAACCCCCACAATATTTTTTCTTCTAAATATCTGCAGCCTTGTAATGTGTTGTTTTGTTACAGTAATTCTCGGCTGGGTAGTCATTTGTACCTTGTTACTATGCAGACTGTAAAATTAGAATTGTACTACAGTAGAGGCTCTACCTATTTTCTGTATTTCTGTAAAAATTACCATATGAGGTATGCAGTTATATTCTACATATGAAACAGTGTGATTTTGGAGCTTGTGTACAAATCGTGATGCATTTAGGAGCATTAATAGATATTTTCTGATTGCAAAGAATTGGTGGTGAGACATCAGCTGCATCTTTAGAAGAAAAATGGAGTTCTCAAAGCAGTTCTAAGTGAAGAGCATCACGCTATGCTATGGGTGAAGCATAACATCCTGAAGTAATAAATCAGCAAAAAATGATGGTAATATTCACAGTGATTCCCTGGTTTGTTGATATTTATTTAACCTTTTAGAGGTGTAAGGTTGCTCTTCTGGAGATATATGTGTATTACTTGCAGGCACTCAGATTTGAGGTCTGTTGGGTCCAACAACTGAGTCTAAACCAGAATATCCTTTCATTTTCTTTCCCTATGAAAGCACTGCAGGCAAATAGATTTCTTCCCGAGGATGTCTCAGATCTCACAGTCTTATGCTGAACGTGCTGTCAGCTTCTGATAGGGATTCATTGACCAATCCGCCAGCATTTTCAGTGAAAACCGATCACCCTCTCCTGTCTGATGATTGACCATATTTTTAGAAATTTGTTTATCAAATAGCTGCTACCTGTACCCAGTGGCTTTTAGAAGGACTCCTGCTGACCTGCTGCCCTTACCTGTAGAACCTGTGCTCTGCTTTTCAAAACATATTCATCTCTTTACAGGGGCTTTGGAGTTAATGTGCTGTGCAGCTACCAAAATAGCCTTTCATTCACCCAGCTCCTCTCAGTGGACAGACGTATGGACAGTAAGTGCTGTCCCTGCACCTGCTGGGTAGGGGTAACCCTGGCAGCTGGAATATTGCCACGTCGAACCCAGTTGGGAATACAAGCAGAGAAAGGCAGAACCATTTTGCACTTCACTGCAACCAGGGTGTGTGTGCTGCCAGCAGCACACTTGTTTTTATTTGCAAGCTCGTCTGGAGAGTATTATAGGGACTCAGCACAAGGCAGCTACAAAATCCTTGTAATTTTATCAAGCACAGTAGACTAATGATGGCAAGAGCCTTTTTTCCAGCAGTAGATGCTTCCACAGGCACATGAACGAAACAGTCCTCTCCCTAAAACAATCCTATATTTGAAGTCTTTCTCAATATAGTCAGAACTCTTATCTTTGGATTACTCAATAACTATGCAACTCAATAGCTAGAGAATGGTTCTGAATTATGAATGAATGCTTTGTTTAAAATCCAGTAGCTTTTACTTTTTTTTTTTTTTCTTTCTTTTTTTTTTTTTTTTTTTGTAGAAGCTTCTCTGGTGCACTGCTCTGCTCAGGCTTTACCAGAGCGTGGAGTGACTTTACCTCTACAGAAATTTGCATTGTAATCTTGATAGTGATCGTGAACATTAACTTTATAATCCTCACCGGGGAAATGGAGCGATGAAGTATTGGTACAGCAGTAAATTGGAATAGAAAACAAGAAGCAGGAGGGAGTAGGGTGTTAGGCTGAAAAAGTGCATTTAGCAGAGGATGTCCTGTTGAGAAGGATGTCCTCCTCAAATAGATGCCCTGCATTCATAACGCCCTTTCTGTGCTCTGAGTAAATGGCTTATTGTACTGCTCACATACACTAAATCAGTTATTTTAACCTGCTAATAGAAGTATTTGTATAAATGTGAATTGATACTTTTTTCCCGAAGCCCCACTGGCATTTAAAAGCTGGCTCTTGTGTATTTCAGTAATACTGCTTATGGTAAGCGTGAAAAAATCATGGGTCAAACCCTGTAAAATTTTGGCTAGCTTTAAACTCGAGATTTTAGAACAGTGTAGATATTGTACTTTATTTAATATAAAAACCCTGCTGAATGAGGTCTGTCCATCATCACAGTTGTCTGTGTTTCATGGTCTGCTGATTTCTTTAGTAAAACTAGTCAAGCCTCCTTTCCAAAGTTTTTCTGCCCCTTATTGCCTCTTCTAGGAACCTGCTGCTTTGGTTGTGACCTGAAATATCAGAATTGTTAGTGATTATGATTCCTGTCTCGGTATTCCTGCCACACTGATCTTGATTTCCTTAGCCCTGTTGCGCATAAGTCTTTGTTCCCTTCACTGAGGTGATCTTGCTGGAGGAGGGAGTGGTGCCCTCTTCTCATCACTGCAAAGTGGTGATGCTGCTCCCGTCCCCCAGGGCAGAGACAGAAAAGGAAACAAAGCTACTGTTTGCACAAGGTAAGGAAGGATGAGTAGGAGAGGATGCAAAGGGTTTGGCCTAGGGAGGAGGTCCCACAGGGAGGGGAGAGCTGCCTGGGGAAGAAACAGGAGAGAGGAGGGATCTTTCCCACGCTCAGCCTCCCCTGGACCTTACTGACACCATGTCCAAACGTCACGCCAAGAATGGAGATGTGTGGCCAGGACTCAAGATTTCTGGCAGCAGGCAGAGGACTGTTCTTCCCTGGCCATGGCCCTGGTGTTAACCATGTTGCTTTGTTTACTCTAGATACACTTTATACTGCTGTTCAGTCGGCAGGGGAAGTTAAGGCTTCAGAAATGGTACACGACGCTACCTGATAAAGAGAAGAAAAAGATCATTCGAGAAATTGTGCAGATTATTTTGTCTCGCAATCAAAAAACAAGTAGTTTTGTTGACTGGAAAGACCTCAAGCTTGTTTACAAAAGGTGTGAGTAATTTTATAAGAACGTATAATTATTATTCATATGAGTAACACATGCTAGAAGAGAAGAGTAAAGGTTCACTTCAAGAAAAGCAGCAAACAACACTCTTAGGGCTAGGCTGAGTGAGGAGCCTGCTTCTGACTGTGTATAACAATGCAGTGTCCCTGGCCAAACCAGCAGGGTAAATTGTGGGGTGCAAAATACTTGTACAATTTGTCAAATGAGAAAAATGGGAGTAATCTGATAAGTATTGGTGGTTAGAAGGCTCTAGACTTCACCGTTTCTTCTAATCCCACAAGGTAGCCTGCTGAGATGTGTGCTGGGCTTTATCAGGCTCTTTTGGGGGGTTGCAGGAATTGTTCTGAGGTACTTCCAACATTCTGCCGAATTTTGTCTTTGAAATATTTGTTGCTCTGGAAAAATGTTAATTCCCATTTCCTTTTCCAAAGAAATCACTGGTCCCCAGTTACACCACACCTGTTCATTCTTCTGAAGTTGTAGCAAACAAAAGTAGCCTTGAGTTATAGCTGGACAAATTAAGCAACGTCTCCCATTTAGCAAAACTTGAGTTCCATGCAGTGAAAGGAGGGATATAAACATCTGACCAGCTGCTGTGAGCCAGCCACAGCACCAGCGAGCTGAGGTGGATCGTTCTTGCATCTTAGGTTGGTTTAAACACAACGTTTTGCTGCAAGTTATTTGTGAAGGTTGTTTGGTCTGAGCAGTTTCATGCATTCTGGCCCTGTGTGAAACACTGTCATTTGATAGCCAGCAGGCTTACTGAGATGTGACTCCTTTCACATTTATTTTTGCCTTATTTTTATTTTTTTAATTAGGAGGAGTAGCAGTTTAATTAACCCCACTTACTATAGTGCCACTGCAGCAGGTGAGGGAGACCTCAAAGTACTACTGATTTATTGTTTATTTTATTATGACCAGTGTTGGAGATACCCCACCTTATCAAGGGTGGAGTTTGTTGTTCTAACTAAAATAATAATTTGTTTAAATTCTCTGATCTTTTAAAGTGTTCTCTGAGACACTATTAAGAATGAAAGAAAATGTTTATTTTAGAGACTAGATAGGAATTAACTGTCATACAAGTAACTTCTAAGAGACGAGCAGAGCACTGAGGTCCCAGCTGTTCACTCCCCTGTTTTTGCCTCTCTTTCCCCAGGTATGCCAGTTTGTATTTCTGCTGTGCAATAGAGGACCAGGATAATGAGCTCCTGACACTAGAGGTCGTTCATCGATATGTAGAGCTGCTGGACAAATACTTCGGAAACGTAGGTTTCACTTTCTCCCATGAACTCATCCCTGCCTGTCTGATAAACAAAGCTATGTGAAGCTCATTTACTTCACATTTCCATCTGCAGTGCTTGCCCTGCAGGGTTTCTCAATCCAGAGCGAAATTCTTTATTAGAGTAATTTATAAGATAGTGCTGAAACAGTCATAAGATTGTTTTTCCATCCTTTCTCCCCCTTCTCCCCTCCAATTAATCTTGATGCTTTGTCTTGGAATAGAATTTGAAGAGAAAGCTTGAGGAAAATTACTTTAAAAAAAAAAAGGTTAAAATACTTTAATTCTCTCTTCTGATGTGTTCAGATACAGTGGTTTTGTTTGTTTCATAATACTGTGTAACACTTCAGGACACAGAAAGAGGAAAAAGATAAACTGCGCGTATTTTTAAAGAAAAGACCTGAAGAAGGTCCAAACAAGTCTTTCAGTAATCCTTTGAAGACTGCAAGAGACCCATCTTTTCTGTGACTAATTTTGAAATTATGCTGACTACCTTAATTCATCTGATTTCAGTCAGTGTGCCACGACTCGTGTCTGTACCGCCTCCAAACACAAAAGAGGTTGGTGGCTGTCACTGGGCAGGGAATTTGTCTTGCTCTGTGAAACCCACATTGCAGGGGCTGTACAGGACCTGTGATATGGTTAGTAGGCTAGGAGGTCTGCTCTGTCCTCTGAGAGCCAGTATGGATCTAATAATAAGTGGAATATCTTTGCTGTAAGTCTGTATTGATGAAGAGGCTTCAATCAGTATTACATAACATGCAGTTTCTTTCTTCACCCTGCCACCTGCCATGGTAGTGCATACATGGAGTATATCTGATTAACCCGACGACTCCCAACCCAGCAGTGCTTAGGATGTTGTAAAAGGGGTTTAAATGTGGTGTGTCCTTTTGTTTTGGCAGGTGTGTGAGCTGGATATTATCTTTAATTTTGAGAAAGCTTATTTTATTCTTGATGAGTTTATAATTGGTGGAGAAGTACAGGAAACTTCAAAGAAGACTGCAGTGAAAGCCATAGAAGACTCTGACATGCTGCAGGAGGTAAGGCAGAGGAAGAAAAAAGGCAAACACATCATCTTCCTACATCTTCCTTGTTTGACAGGAGCTGAAAACACAGCTAAGCACTTCTGGTATTTAATTATCCAAGTGTGTCTTACATTCAGGTTCAACAGGTACAACTGTGCAGTTACATAAGCTTTCAGTTCAACCCTCCTGGAATCATCTGGAGACTCTTTATATGTGGCTGTTGCTCTCTTGCAGTTTAACTGCTAGAGTTTCTCAGATAGTATATTAAGAAATAGTTTAAGATGCATCTAAGATATTCCTATAACTGAAGATCATATTTTGAGATTATGTTTTATGTGTATATATGTATATATAAATACAGAAAAATCTCTTTTGTTTCACTAATACATTGGAAACAGATGACTTACCATTAACATTTAAAATTGGAAAGAGCACGTGCTGGCAAACTGCACTTCCATTCAGGAGCACCTGTGTACTTCTGCCAGGCACAGCCATGTAACCTTTATTCAGAACCCTGCAGGAATTCTCTTGTCGTAACTTGGAACGTGACTGGTATCGTCATGCCAGGAATGGCAAAAGCAGTTGGATGGGGTGGATTTACTTCATTTTTAACTCGGTGGTGAAGGATCCATCGTAACACTGAAGGATCCAGCACCTGGGTGGAACTGGCTCAGGACACGCTTGTGTGAGTTGAGCAGCTTCTCCCAGTGGTCTGTCACTCAGCCAGCTGTGTAAGGAGGCCACTCGGCACGATGAGTTTAGCCGCAGCTGCTGTGTGTCATGATTTGAGGATCAGATTCTAAACCACTCCTTTACATGTTTTTAAAGCAGAGTTATTTCTACATTTTCGTTAATCTGATCGACTTCCGTGCTAAACTACAACTGGCCTCCCTCAAGGAGGACAACATGTTTTGTATGAATATTGCTGTGCCACTCCATAATGCATCAGTTGTTTCTTCTTTTTTTTTTTTCCTAGACAGTGGAAGAATACATGAACAAGCCTGCATTTTAATGTTAAACTACCTGGAGAGAAAACTGCTGTGTGCACCTCTACAATGCACTTGCTGAAATTGCTTCCCGAAGTGCCAGATTTTTTAGAGAAATACCAAAAACCAGTAACGGAAGGGGTTTGTTTGTATAATGGTGAAGATGAAGGTCAGCTAATGTAGCAAAGGGTTTAACAGTTCTGTACTTTGCATTACTCTGCATATGAGTTTCTCAGAGTTGTTATTACCCTGGATATAGTTTTCTCTTCTTGCTGGACTGAACTCTTGTTTTTTACCATGCCTTTTAGCTACAGATTTTGTCATCATAAAATGCTACTCTGACAGTACTTTGAAGAGATGTTTTTAATAGTTTTGGTTCACTGCTGACTGTATGACTCTACTTTTGTACAAATGTCCATTATTTTGAATGTAATGATTATTCTGCTCTAATAATAATAATTTCTTTTTCTAAAAGCCAAATTGTTGTGGGCCCTGATTTCATAAGCTTGTTGTGACAAGATTAACCCATCCAGTACAAGAAGAAATGTGCATCTCTTTGGGCCAGCCCCTTTCTTTCACGATCTTCCCTCTCCTTTCTACTCTAGTCTGTTAATAAGACGGCTCCAACTGCTAATAGAGTGTATTCCATGCCTGCATTTGATCTGGAAGACTGTTCTGACTGGAAGTAAGCTTCTCCCAGGTTTATTGAATCCTTTTGCTGCTGCCTGTGGATGGCCTGTTTCTGTCTTCCTCCTCATTTTCCTGTCACCTTCCGAGATCCCCTGGACCTGTGCAAAGGCTCCAAACTTTGGAAGTGTGCAGCTTGAGAGCAGGAGATAACCTGAAGAGAAAAAATTAGTCTTTGGGATTTTAGAGTGAAGATAATCTCGTATATCATTTGGTATCCACCAAAGCCCATATTTCCCTTTAAAATTTTTCCAGTCTCAAATTCACACACCTGTTGGGATGATCAGCTTTCAAGTAGTTGAACGTGGCCCATTTTTGTGAAGATGGGACAACTGAATCAGCCATTTATAACTTCGCAAGCTGCAAAAAGGGTAAAATAGTAGAGAGGAGAACAGTCAGCTGGGCTGTGTCCCTTACTGTGTCTTAAAACATTGTAGCTGTGCGTGTGTGGAGCTGGGTGTGTTAACGTGACTGTCTGTCAGTGCAATATGGACTCTGTAAACTGACTGAACTGGCTTCCTTAGATTATTTCCTCCTTTAACAGAATTCAGAGCTCATGGAAATTCTGTTTATCTAACTCACAGCTAGATGTTTTGTCTCTGTCAAATCATGGAATTATCCTGTACAAAAATTAGGCAAGTTATCAGACAAATATGCCAGAATGATCCAAGCACTGATTTGCACTTCCATTCACGATACGTTTTCCTTGATTTCTGGGATGTACAGTCAGTATTTTCTTTCAGGGCTTTTTCTAATCTTTAAATGCCCTGCATGCTCACTCTAATTTTTTCCTTGCTCCTTCCTTCCTTCCTAGTCCATTTGTATCTTCCCAGGGAGGGGTACAGGGGTTGTTTGGAGGTTGAGGGTGCTTTGACATAACACAACAACTGTGCTGATTGTCATCCCCCTCTTCTGCCTGTGCTTTCTGGTCTGTTAGTAAAAACTGTGACAAGCTGCTTCATAGCATCATGTTGCTCTTTTTATAATTACTTTATCCATCTGTTTTCTCTGCATTGATGTCAAAGGCATACTTTGAGCATCGAGAAAATAGTGAAATTGCTGAAGGGCTTTTAATAGCTCTCAAGACATCCAATTTAATAGTAAATTAATGAAATTGTATGAGTTGTATATTATTTTCTCATGGTTTGAAATGAAGTTTTTAAAAGTAGAGTGATTAAGAAACCACTTCAGAATGTACAAAGAGGCTCCTTCTGCTCTTTTTAAGTGACTTCTATTCAGTGAAATCATCAGTAGTTTGATTTGCTTTTACTCCTTTTTGGAGTCATGCTGTGATTCTCTGACTCTTAAAAACTGTCATGTTGCTTGAATTCTGGATTATATCAAAATAAGGTTTTCAAAAAATTTCTTAGTATGAATAAGGATATCAAAAACCAGTCTTTTCAGTCATTCTAAGGAGAACTAGAAGACTTCCTTCCCTGTCATTTCAAATGAAGGAGAATTTCCTTATGGAAAAAAAAATTGTACCCTAGCTAAGGGGCACTTATACCAGCCATGTCAGTGTAGCATCTGCAATGAATAGCATTGCCAAACTGATGTATCCAGTGTCAGCTTGAGAAGTGGGGAGGAATTAGTGTGGTTTTCTTGCTTAGTACAAAAATTCATTGGAATATGGTGGGCTTGTTGTGCCACCTGCCTTTGTACTACAAAATTGAATGGAAAGTATATGTTAAGTACTCTTAAGAACTGCTAAATTATGTTCATGCTCCAAGGAACATCTGTAGATTCCTGTTGCTTTTGCCTATATGTGGGCTACACAAAGCAGGCAGGTGAGCATTTTTAATTAATGTGAGTTTTGCAAGTGTCAGCCTGCATGTATGGCATACTTAAAAACAGATTGGTTTGAAACATAAAACTTGTATTTATACTTTTGACAACCTTCAGAGAGAAAGGCATCTCTCACCTGAATGGTTTTGTGATGGAATTCAGCTCAACCCAACTTTCCCAAAGGGAAAAAGCCCAAAAGAAACCCCTTTATTGTCAGATTACTCTTAGGTCACTGTCAGAATGTCCATGTCTTTGTGGGGCTCCATTGCCACCAACAGGACTCTGCACAGGTCAGTGCACTGCTGAGCAGAGCTCATCAGAAGATTCACGTCTCTCTTGTTATCTTAGTTCCTGGATTTTTCTTAGAGCAGGAGATGCATGTGTCTTTGTCCATAATTGACAGAGCTGGGAAGCATTGCCTGTTTATATTTGCTGTTTCTGACTTGCCTGACTATTCTAGGCAATGCTCAATGTAAAGTTTTCTGAGATGACTATGGAATTATTATCCAAATAAGTATTAGCAGATTCCTTAACAGTTTTCCCCATCTCATCTCATCTTTTGCAGTTACCTAAACCCTTACCTTGCTGACAAGCCTCAAGTACGTGTGTCCTAGTTTGCAAAATTGTGTTTACTAAAATAACCATTAATCACGGTCATGTTGCTGGCCTAGATTCCCTTCCTTGCTTTGGCCAGCTGCATCCAGCAAAAAGCTGCTTGATTTTCGTGTGGGCATCTCTCCCTGGAGGACTCTTTGTGTGATTTACCGCTCACCAGCTGGGACAGAGCTGGTTCTCTGTTTGCAGCTCATGAGTTGTGACATCTTTGAACATATTATGGCAATTAAAAAGAGGGAGACAGATATTAGACTGGGATAAAAATAAGTGTAGTCATGTCAAAAGGAATATTGAAAGTGTGACAGATCATCATGAGTGAGAGGCAAGAGTGGCAGGATCTCACAGGATTCATTTTTATAAATTTTGTTTTTTTCATTATGAATTTCTGAGTGTAAGGGCTCATTAAAAGGTGTCAACTCTTACAAATAACTGTAGGAAAAACTGACATTTAGGTTACCTCCTATCAGCCTTTGTTTAACAAAGAGCCACTGCAAGGGAATCTTCAACACCTCCCCCTCGCTGCTCCTGCGAAGCCCCACTGTGCTTTCAGAAACCCAGGTGGGAAACTTATGGTCAAGTTTGGATGTGATTCTGTGTCTGAATTTTCACTGGACAGAATAATGCTGCAATTATTAAAGGATGAGTTACTATTTTTTCCTTTATTTTGCAGTCCTTTGAATAGATAACACATTTTTTCTGTCCTCTGCTTAGCACTGTGCTGTGTTGGAGTAATACAGCATGCAAAGTGGTACAGCAGGTGTCAGGAGGGACTGGTTTATGAGGAAAGATTACAAGAGTGTAACAGTGTGAGTGGAGCTTTCAAAGATAACCAGAGACATTCAGTTAACAGTCCCCTCAAAAAAAAAACGGGGCTTAATACAGTTCATACAGAGAGAGAGAACTCCCATCCCTGTCTGTCCATGACATTCTGCTCCACTGAAAATGCGTTTGGAAATATTTCTGTCAGCACAGCTCCTACGTGAGGGGGCTTTTGCTCTCACCCTGCATAAGATGACTAAACCCAAAGGTCTCAGTTCTGCAGTTAATCCCTAGGGTGGGGTTTTCATTAACTTTATCCAGTGCCTTTACGAGCACGGAGTCTGCATCATCACCTTGCATCACTGTATTTTCAGTTTAGATGACTGCCAGAACTTGTGAGCTCAGACCAGGTAACAGCATCCTTCTGGGAGAGTTGACGACATTCCTGCTGAATTCAGTAGCCTGTATGTTCCTTGGCAAGTTCACAGTACAAATAAAATAGAGCTGTTGATTTAAGTGTCTGTTGGGATATTTCAGGGATTTTTTTTTTTTTTTTTTCACGAAGATAGCTGGTCTAGGTTAAAGTATAGTAGTGAAAGCTTAGTGTTCATAGCAGAGATAACGGGCTGTGCTGCAAGAGAGTTAATGTTTGCTGTCATGGAAACCTGTTGCCTTGGAACATGACTAATGAGACACAAGGCTAAGGGAAAGGAAGAAGCTATTCTTGAAATTATTGTTTAGCAAAGCCTAAGCAAGACCAGCAGTATACATTATCATGAGTTGCAGTTATTTCAAATTTTGTTGTCTAGTTCACTTAACTTTGTCTTTTTATTTACTTATTCAACAGCTCTTGTAACCCCGTTTTCATGCAGAGAAAATAGTTGAGCTAATCCTTTGACTGTCTGGAAATAAATAGCATCTTACTTGCATTCCTCTTTCCCAGTACACCTCAAAATATGTTCAACTGTTATGGAAGGGACACACAACTTGTGGCTGGTCGGGAATGTCCCCCAGTAAGGCAGGGGACAGCAGCAGTTTGGCTTTTGCCTTTGATTGTAACTGTAGGTTTCAAAGACAGTCCAGGAATATGAGGTCGGGAACATTTCTATGTACTTACCCATATGGAAAAATCTGGTTACCCACCCTGTGTATCAGCGTGGTAAAACTGCTGCTCTCTAATGCTGAAAGGAAACTTGGGGGGGGGGAACAATCAGAAGGTATTTTAAAGTTGACTTCAGCATTCTGTCATCTCCTTTTAAAATTCCCACCGAGAATTCTCCTCTCTTCTGGAATTCCTACTCCAGACCCAGTACCTATCATTACCCACCAGGCTCTGCAGTGGAGAATAGAGTGATGATGTTTTTTTTCCTGCAGAGGGGAATTTTTCAAGTCTGTTGTGAAAAACAATGCTGAATGTAGAATCCCCAGTTACACAGGGTGACAAATTCATTAGAGCTTGCTGAGGGTTTCAGCTGCTCTCTGAACCGGGATCTTGCATGAATAAATTGTCAGCAGCTTTAAGTCTCCCTGCCTTGTGGAGATCACGCTTCAGGGTCCTTCTGCAAGCTCACAGTGAGGAGTCAGCCTTAGCTGAGCTCAGCCAACAAAGACAAGTCACAGAGGAACATCTCCAC